TGCCGTTGATGCTACAGTTCGTGAGTGGCTGTCCGAATTCGCTGGCAAACGATGGCAAACGATGCCTTTGATGCTACAGCTCGTGTGCTGCTGTCCGAATTCGCTGGCAAACAATTGCCACTGATGCAACAGCTCGTGTGCTGCTGTCCGAATTCGCTGGCAAACAATGGCAAACGATGCCACTGATGCAACAGCTCGTGTGCTGCTGTCCAAATTCGCTGGCAAACAATGGCAAACGATGCCGTTGATGCTACAGCTTGTGTGCTGCTGTCCGAATTCGCTGGCAAACGATGCCGTTGACGCTACAGCTCGTGTGCTGCTGTCCGATCTCGCTGGCAAACAATTGCCACTGATGCAACAGCTCGTGTGCTGCTGTCCGAATTCGCTGGCAAACAATGGCAAACGATGCCGTTGATGCTACAGCTCGTGTGCTGCTGTCCGAATTCGCTGGCAAACAATGGCAAACGATGCCGTTGATGCTACAGCTCGTGTGCTGCTGTCCGAACTCGCTGGCAAACAATGGCAAACGGTGCCGTTGATGCAACAGCTCGTGTGCTGCTGTCCGAATTCGCTGGCAAACAATGGCAAACGATGCCGTTGATGCTACAGTTCGTGGGTGGCTGTCCGAATTCGCTGGCAAACAATGGCAAACGATGCCGTTGATGCTACAGTTCTTATGCTGCTGTCCGAATTCGCTGGCAAACAATTGCCACTGATGCAACAGCTCGTGTGTGGCTGTCCGAATTCGCTGGCAAACAATGGCAAACGATGCCGTTGATGCTACAGCTCGTGTGCTGCTGTCCGAATTCGCTGGCAAACAATGGCAAACGATGCCGTTGATGCTACAGTTCGTGTGCTGCTGTCCAAATTCGCTGGCAAACAATTGCCACTGATGCAACAGCTCGTGTGCTGCTGTCCGAATTCGCTGGCAAACAATGGCATACGATGCCTTTGATGCTACAGCTCGTGTGCTGCTGTCCGAATTCGCTGGCAAACAATGGCAAACGATGCCGTTGATGCTACAGCTCGTGTGCTGCTGTCCGAATTCGCTGGCAAACAATGGCAAACGATGCCGTTGATGCTACAGTTCATGTGCTGCTGTCCGAATTCGCTGGCAAACAATTGCCGCTGATGCAACAGCTCGTGAGTGGCTTTCCGAATTCGCTGACAAACGATGGCAAACGATGCCGTTGATGCTACAGCTCGTGAGCTGCTGTCCGAATTCGCTGGCAAACAATTGCCACTGATGCAACAGCTCGTGTGCTGCTGTCCAAATTCGCTGGCAAACAATGGCAAACGATGCCGTTGATGGTACAGTTCGTGTGCTGCTGTCCGAGTTCGCTGGCAAACAATTGCCACTGATGCAACAGCTCGTGTGCTGCTGTCCGAATTCGCTTGCAAACAATGGGAAACGATGCCGTTGATGCTACAGTTCGTGAGTGGCTGTCCGAATTCGCTGGCAAACAATGGCAAACAATGCCGTTGATGCTACAGTTCGTGTGCTGCTGTCCGAATTCGCTGGCAAACAATGGCAAACGATGCCGTTGATGCTACAGTTCGTGAGTTGCTGTCCGAATTCGCTGGCAAACAATGGCAAACGATGCCGTTGATGCTACAGTTCGTGTGCTGCTGTCCGAATTCGCTGGCAAACAATGGCAAACGATGCCGTTGATGCTACAGCTCGTGAGTTGCTGTCCGAATTCGCTGGCAAACAATGGCAAACGATGCCGTTGGTGCTACAGTTCGTGCGCTGCTGTCCGAATTCGCTGGCAAACAATGGCAAACAATTGCCACTGATGCAACAGCTCGTGTGTGGCTGTCCGAATTCGCTGGCAAACAATGGCAAACGATGCCGTTGATGCTACAGCTCGTGTGCTGCTGTCCGAATTCGCTGGCAAACAATGGCAAACGATGCCGTTGATGCTACAGTTCATGTGCTGCTGTCCGAATTCGCTGGCAAACAATTGCCGCTGATGCAACAGCTCGTGAGTGGCTTTCCGAATTCGCTGACAAACGATGGCAAACGATGCCGTTGATGCTACAGCTCGTGAGCTGCTGTCCGAATTCGCTGGCAAACAATTGCCACTGATGCAACAGCTCGTGTGCTGCTGTCCAAATTCGCTGGCAAACAATGGCAAACGATGCCGTTGAAGGTACAGTTCGTGTGCTGCTGTCCGAGTTCGCTGGCAAACAATTGCCACTGATGCAACAGCTCGTGTGCTGCTGTCCGAATTCGCTTGCAAACAATGGCAAACGATGCCGTTGATGCTACAGCTCGTGAGCTGCTGTCCGAATTCGCTGGCAAACAATTGCCACTGATGCAACAGCTCGTGTGCTGCTGTCCAAATTCGCTGGCAAACAATGGCAAACGATGCCGTTGATGGTACAGTTCGTGTGCTGCTGTCCGAATTCGCTGGCAAACAATGGCAAACGATGCCGTTGATGCTACAGCTCGTGTGCTGCTGTCCGAATTCGCTGGCAAACAATGCCGTTGATGCTACAGCTCGTGTGCTGCTGTCCGAATTCGCTGGCAAACAATGGCAAACGATGCCGTTGATGCTACAGTTCATGTGCTGCTGTCCGAATTCGCTGGCAAACAATTGCCGCTGATGCAACAGCTCGTGAGTGGCTTTCCGAATTCGCTGACAAACGATGGCAAACGATGCCGTTGATGCTACAGCTCGTGAGCTGCTGTCCGAATTCGCTGGCAAACAATTGCCACTGATGCAACAGCTCGTGTGCTGCTGTCCAAATTCGCTGGCAAACAATGGCAAACGATGCCGTTGATGGTACAGTTCGTGTGCTGCTGTCCGAGTTCGCTGGCAAACAATTGCCGCTGATGCAACAGCTCGTGAGTGGCTTTCCGAATTCGCTGACAAACGATGGCAAACGATGCCGTTGATGCTACAGCTCGTGTGCTGCTGTCCGAATTCGCTGGCAAACAATGGCAAACGATGCCGTTGATGCTACAGTTCGTGAGTGGCTGTCCGAATTCGCTGGCAAACAATGGCAAACAATGCCGTTGATGCTACAGTTCGTGTGCTGCTGTCCGAATTCGCTGGCAAACAATGGCAAACGATGCCGTTGATGCTACAGTTCGTGAGTTGCTGTCCGAATTCGCTGGCAAACAATGGCAAACGATGCCGTTGATGCTACAGTTCGTGTGCTGCTGTCCGAATTCGCTGGCAAACAATGGCAAACGATGCCGTTGATGCTACAGCTCGTGAGTTGCTGTCCGAATTCGCTGGCAAACAATGGCAAACGATGCCGTTGGTGCTACAGTTCGTGCGCTGCTGTCCGAATTCGCTGGCAAACAATGGCAAACAATTGCCACTGATGCAACAGCTCGTGTGTGGCTGTCCGAATTCGCTGGCAAACAATGGCAAACGATGCCGTTGATGCTACAGTTCGTGAGTGGCTGTCCGAATTCGCTGGCAAACAATGGCAAACGATTGCCACTGATGCAACAGCTCGTGTGTGGCTGTCCGAATTCGCTGGCAAACAATGGCAAACGATGCCGTTGATGCTACAGTTCGTGAGTGGCTGTCCGAATTCGCTGGCAAACAATGGCAAACGATGCCGTTGATGCTACAGCTCGTGTGCTGCTGTCCGAATTCGCTGGCAAACAATGGCAAACGATGCCGTTGATTCAACATCTCGTGTGCTGCTGTCCGAATTCGCTGGCAAACAATGCCGTTGACGCTACAGTTCGTGTGCTGCTGTCCGAATTCGCTGGCAAACAATGGCAAACGATGCCGTTGATGCTACAATTCGTGAGTTGCTGTCCGAATTCGCTGGCAAACAATGGCAAACGATGCCGTTGATGCTACAGTTCGTGTGCTGCTGTCCGAATTCGCTGGCAAACAATGGCAAACGATGCCGTTGATGCTACAGCTCGTGAGTTGCTGTCCGAATTCGCTGGCAAACAATGGCAAACGATGCCGTTGGTGCTACAGTTCGTGCGCTGCTGTCCGAATTCGCTGGCAAACAATGGCAAACAATTGCCACTGATGCAACAGCTCGTGTGTGGCTGTCCGAATTCGCTGGCAAACAATGGCAAACGATGCCGTTGATGCTACAGTTCGTGAGTGGCTGTCCGAATTCGCTGGCAAACAATGGCAAACGATGCCGTTGATGCTACAGCTCGTGTGCTGCTGTCCGAATTCGCTGGCAAACAATGGCAAACGATGCCGTTGATTCAACAGCTCGTGTGCTGCTGTCCGAATTCGCTGGCAAACGATGCCGTTGACGCTACAGCTCGTGTGCTGCTGTCCGAATTCGCTGGCAAACAATGGCAAACGATGCCGTTGGTGCTACAGTTCGTGTGCTGCTGTCCGAATTCGCTGGCAAACAATTGCCACTGATGCAACAGCTCGTGTGTGGCTGTCCGAATTCGCTGGCAAACAATGGCAAACGATGCCGTTGATGCTACAGTTCGTGTGCTGCTGTCCAAATTCGCTGGCAAACAATTGCCACTGATGCAACAGCTCGTGTGCTGCTGTCCGAATTCGCTGGCAAACAATGGCATACGATGCCTTTGATGCTACAGCTCGTGTGCTGCTGTCCGAATTCGCTGGCAAACAATGGCAAACGATGCCGTTGATGCTACAGCTCGTGTGCTGCTGTCCGAATTCGCTGGCAAACAATGGCAAACGATGCCGTTGATGCTACAGTTCATGTGCTGCTGTCCGAATTCGCTGGCAAACAATTGCCGCTGATGCAACAGCTCGTGAGTGGCTTTCCGAATTCGCTGACAAACGATGGCAAACGATGCCGTTGATGCTACAGCTCGTGAGCTGCTGTCCGAATTCGCTGGCAAACAATTGCCACTGATGCAACAGCTCGTGTGCTGCTGTCCAAATTCGCTGGCAAACAATGGCAAACGATGCCGTTGATGGTACAGTTCGTGTGCTGCTGTCCGAGTTCGCTGGCAAACAATTGCCACTGATGCAACAGCTCGTGTGTGGCTGTCCGAATTCGCTGGCAAACAATGGCAAACGATGCCGTTGATGCTACAGTTCGTGAGTGGCTGTCCGAATTCGCTGGCAAACAATGGCAAACAATTGCCACTGATGCAACAGCTCGTGGTGGCTGTCCGAATTCGCTGGCAAACAATGGCAAACGATGCCGTTGATGCTACAGTTCGTGAGTGGCTGTCCGAATTCGCTGGCAAACAATGGCAAACGATGCCGTTGATGCTACAGCTCGTGTGCTGCTGTCCGAATTCGCTGGCAAACAATGGCAAACGATGCCGTTGATTCAACAGCTCGTGTGCTGCTGTCCGAATTCGCTGGCAAACAATGCCGTTGACGCTACAGCTCGTGTGCTGCTGTCCGAATTCGCTGGCAAACAATGGCAAACGATGCCGTTGGTGCTACAGTTCGTGTGCTGCTGTCCGAATTCGCTGGCAAACAATTGCCACTGATGCAACAGCTCGTGTGTGGCTGTCCGAATTCGCTGGCAAACAATGGCAAACGATGCCGTTGATGCTACAGCTCGTGTGCTGCTGTCCGAATTCGCTGGCAAACAATGGCAAACGATGCCGTTGATGCTACAGTTCGTGTGCTGCTGTCCAAATTCGCTGGCAAACAATTGCCACTGATGCAACAGCTCGTGTGCTGCTGTCCGAATTCGCTGGCAAACAATGGCATACGATGCCTTTGATGCTACAGCTCGTGTGCTGCTGTCCGAATTCGCTGGCAAACAATGGCAAACGATGCCGTTGGTGCTACAGTTCGTGCGCTGCTGTCCGAATTCGCTGGCAAACAATGGCAAACAATTGCCACTGATGCAACAGCTCGTGTGTGGCTGTCCGAATTCGCTGGCAAACAATGGCAAACGATGCCGTTGATGCTACAGTTCGTGAGTGGCTGTCCGAATTCGCTGGCAAACAATGGCAAACGATGCCGTTGATGCTACAGCTCGTGTGCTGCTGTCCGAATTCGCTGGCAAACAATGGCAAACGATGCCGTTGATTCAACAGCTCGTGTGCTGCTGTCCGAATTCGCTGGCAAACGATGCCGTTGACGCTACAGCTCGTGTGCTGCTGTCCGAATTCGCTGGCAAACAATGGCAAACGATGCCGTTGGTGCTACAGTTCGTGTGCTGCTGTCCGAATTCGCTGGCAAACAATTGCCACTGATGCAACAGCTCGTGTGTGGCTGTCCGAATTCGCTGGCAAACAATGGCAAACGATGCCGTTGATGCTACAGCTCGTGTGCTGCTGTCCGAATTCGCTGGCAAACAATGGCAAACGATGCCGTTGATGCTACAGTTCGTGTGCTGCTGTCCAAATTCGTGTCAAGTGTGTCAAGGCTCACGAAGGAGTGTCAAGGCTCACGAAGGAGTGTCAAGGCTCACGAAGGAGTGTCAAGGCCTACGAAGGAGTGTCAAGGCTCACGAAGGAGTGTCAAGGCTCACGAAGGAGTGTCAAGGCCTACGAAGGAGTGTCAAGGCTCACGAAGGAGTGTCAAGGCCTACGAAGGAGAGTCAAGGCCTACGAAGGAGTGTCAAGGCTCACGAAGGAGTGTCAAGGCTCACGAAGGAGTGTCAAGGCTCACGAAGGAGTGTCAAGGCCTACGAAGGAGTGTCAAGGCTCACGAAGGAGTGTCAAGGCTCACGAAGGAGTGTCAAGGCCTACGAAGGAGAGTCAAGGCCTACGAAGGAGTGTCAAGGCTCACGAAGGAGTGTCAAGGCCTACGAAGGAGTGTCAAGGCTCACGAAGGAGTGTCAAGGCTCACGAAGGAGTGTCAAGGCTCACGAAGGAGTGTCAAGGCCTACGAAGGAGTGTCAAGGCCTACGAAGGAGTGTCAAGGCCTACGAAGGAGTGTCAAGGCTCACGAAGGAGTGTCAAGGCCTACGAAGGAGTGTCAAGGCTCACGAAGGAGTGTCAAGGCCTACGAAGGAGTGTCAAGGCTCACGAAGGAGTGTCAAGGCCTACGAAGGAGTGTCAAGGCCTACGAAGGAGAGTCAAGGCTCACGAAGGAGTGTCAAGGCTCACGAAGGAGTGTCAAGGCTCACGAAGGAGTGTCAAGGCTCACGAAGGAGTGTCAAGGCCTACGAAGGAGTGTCAAGGCTCACGAAGGAGTGTCAAGGCTCACGAAGGAGTGTCAAGGCCTACGAAGGAGAGTCAAGGCCTACGAAGGAGTGTCAAGGCTCACGAAGGAGTGTCAAGGCTTACGAAAGAGTGTCAAGGCCTACGAAGGAGTGTCAAGGCTCACGAAGGAGTGTCAAGGCTCACGAAGGAGTGTCAAGGCCTACGAAGGAGTGTCAAGGCTCACGAAGGAGTGTCAAGGCCTACGAAGGAGTGTCAATGCTCACGAAGGAGTGTCAAGGCCTACGAAGGAGTGTCAAGGCTCACGAAGGAGTGTCAAGGCCTACGAAGGAGTGTCAAGGCTCACGAAGGAGTGTCAAGGCCTACGAAGGAGTGTCAAGGCCTACGAAGGAGTGTCAAGGCTCACGAAGGAGTGTCAAGGCTCACAAAGGAGAGTCAAGGCCTACGAAGGAGTGTCAAGGCTCACGAAGGAGTGCCAAGGCCTACGAAGGAGTGTCAAGGCTCACAAAGGAGTGTCAAGGCCTACGAAGGAGTGTCAAGGCTCACGAAGGAGTGCCAAGGCCTACGAAGGAGTGTCAAGGCTCACGAAGGAGTGTCAAGGCCTACGAAGGAGTGTCAAGGCTCACGAAAGAGTGTCAAGGCCTACGAAGGAGTGTCAAGGCTCATGAAGGAGTGTTAAGGCTCACGAAGGAGTGTCAAGGCCTACGAAGGAGTGTCAAGGCTCACGAAGGAGTGTCAAGGCTCACGAAGGAGTGTCAAGGCTCACGAAAGAGTGTCAAGGCCTACGAAGGAGAGTCAAGGCCTACGAAGGAGTGTCAAGGCTCACGAAGGAGTGTCAAGGCCTACGAAGGAGTGTCAAGGCTCACGAAGGAGTGTCAAGGCCTACGAAGGAGTGTCAAGGCTCACGAAGGAGTGTCAAGGCCTACGAAGGAGTGTCAAGGCCTACGAAGGAGTGTCAAGGCTCACGAAGGAGTGTCAACAAAGGAGTGTCAAGGCCTACGAAGGAGTGTCAAGGCTCACGAAGGAGTGTCAAGGCCTACGAAGGAGTGTCAAGGCTCACGAAGGAGTGTCAAGGCCTACGAAGGAGTGTCAAGGCCTACGAAGGAGTGTCAAGTCTCACGAAGGAGTGTCAAGGCCTACGAAGGAGTGTCAAGGCTCACGAAGGAGTGTCAAGGCCTACGGAGGAGTGTCAAGGCTCACGAAGTAGTGTCAAGGCCTACGAAGGATTGTCAAGGCCTACGAAGGAGTGTCAAGGCTCACGATGGAGTGTCAAGGCCTACGAAGGAGTGTCAAGGCCTACGAAGGAGTGTCAAGGCTCACGAAGGAGTGTCAAGGCCTACGAAGGAGTGTCAAGGCTCACGAAGGAGTGTCAAGGCCTACGAAGGAGTGTCAAGGCCTACGAAGGAGTGTCAAGGCTCACGAAGGAGTGTCAAGGCTCACGAAGGAGTGTCAAGGCCTACGAAGGAGAGTCAAGGCCTACGAAGGAGTGTCAAGGCTCACGAAGGAGTGTCAAGGCCTACGAAGGAGTGTCAAGGCTCACGAAGGAGTGTCAAGGCTCACGAAGGAGTGTCAAGGCTCACGAAGGAGTGTCAAGGCCTACGAAGGAGTGTCAAGGCCTACGAAGGAGTGTCAAGGCCTACGAAGGAGTGTCAAGGCTCACGAAGGAGTGTCAAGGCCTACGAAGGAGTGTCAAGGCTCACGAAGGAGTGTCAAGGCCTACGAAGGAGTGTCAAGGCTCACGAAGGAGTGTCAAGGCCTACGAAGGAGTGTCAAGGCCTACGAAGGAGAGTCAAGGCTCACGAAGGAGTGTCAAGGCTCACGAAGGAGTGTCAAGGCTCACGAAGGAGTGTCAAGGCTCACGAAGGAGTGTCAAGGCCTACGAAGGAGTGTCAAGGCTCACGAAGGAGTGTCAAGGCTCACGAAGGAGTGTCAAGGCCTACGAAGGAGAGTCAAGGCCTACGAAGGAGTGTCAAGGCTCACGAAGGAGTGTCAAGGCTTACGAAAGAGTGTCAAGGCCTACGAAGGAGTGTCAAGGCTCACGAAGGAGTGTCAAGGCTCACGAAGGAGTGTCAAGGCCTACGAAGGAGTGTCAAGGCTCACGAAGGAGTGTCAAGGCCTACGAAGGAGTGTCAATGCTCACGAAGGAGTGTCAAGGCCTACGAAGGAGTGTCAAGGCTCACGAAGGAGTGTCAAGGCCTACGAAGGAGTGTCAAGGCTCACGAAGGAGTGTCAAGGCCTACGAAGGAGTGTCAAGGCCTACGAAGGAGTGTCAAGGCTCACGAAGGAGTGTCAAGGCTCACAAAGGAGAGTCAAGGCCTACGAAGGAGTGTCAAGGCTCACGAAGGAGTGCCAAGGCCTACGAAGGAGTGTCAAGGCTCACAAAGGAGTGTCAAGGCCTACGAAGGAGTGTCAAGGCTCACGAAGGAGTGCCAAGGCCTACGAAGGAGTGTCAAGGCTCACGAAGGAGTGTCAAGGCCTACGAAGGAGTGTCAAGGCTCACGAAAGAGTGTCAAGGCCTACGAAGGAGTGTCAAGGCTCATGAAGGAGTGTTAAGGCTCACGAAGGAGTGTCAAGGCCTACGAAGGAGTGTCAAGGCTCACGAAGGAGTGTCAAGGCTCACGAAGGAGTGTCAAGGCTCACGAAAGAGTGTCAAGGCCTACGAAGGAGAGTCAAGGCCTACGAAGGAGTGTCAAGGCTCACGAAGGAGTGTCAAGGCCTACGAAGGAGTGTCAAGGCTCACGAAGGAGTGTCAAGGCCTACGAAGGAGTGTCAAGGCTCACGAAGGAGTGTCAAGGCCTACGAAGGAGTGTCAAGGCCTACGAAGGAGTGTCAAGGCTCACGAAGGAGTGTCAACAAAGGAGTGTCAAGGCCTACGAAGGAGTGTCAAGGCTCACGAAGGAGTGTCAAGGCCTACGAAGGAGTGTCAAGGCTCACGAAGGAGTGTCAAGGCCTACGAAGGAGTGTCAAGGCCTACGAAGGAGTGTCAAGTCTCACGAAGGAGTGTCAAGGCCTACGAAGGAGTGTCAAGGCTCACGAAGGAGTGTCAAGGCCTACGGAGGAGTGTCAAGGCTCACGAAGTAGTGTCAAGGCCTACGAAGGATTGTCAAGGCCTACGAAGGAGTGTCAAGGCTCACGATGGAGTGTCAAGGCCTACGAAGGAGTGTCAAGGCCTACGAAGGAGTGTCAAGGCTCACGAAGGAGTGTCAAGGCCTACGAAGGAGTGTCAAGGCTCACGAAGGAGTGTCAAGGCCTACGAAGGAGTGTCAAGGCTCACGAAGGAGTGTCAAGGCCTACGAAGGAGTGTCAAGGCCTACGAAGGAGTGTCAAGGCTCACGAAGGAGTGTCAAGGCCTACGAAGGAGTGTCAAGGCT